CTTTAAGAAACAATGGTGATATAGCACCTCTTGTATACTCCTGGATAGAGCTGGAACGCATTCTACTAAGTGAGGTATCCCAAGAATGGAAAGACGAGCACCACATGTACTCACCATGAAACTTATATTAACCGATCAACACATAAATGCACATATAAGAATAACATCTATTGGATGTTGGGAAGGGGGGAGGGGCTAGGGGGGAGGTAGGAGGCGGGGACGGGTATTTGCATACACAAGGAGTGCAATGCGCACCACCCAAAGGATGGACATATTTGAAACTCGGACTTGGGGGGGGCGTAAGGGCAACACACGTAACCTAAACATCTGTACCCCTGTAATATGCTGAAATAAAAAAAAAAAAACTGCGTATATAGGATCTTACCTCAATACCATAAAAGCTATATTTGCAGACACACAGCTAGTCATACTGAATGGGGAAAAACTGAAAGCCTTTTTTTTAAGATCTGGAACAAAACAAGGATGTCCACACTCACCACTGTTATTCAACATAGTACTGGAAGCTCTAGCTAGAGAAATCAGACAAGAGAAAGAAATAAAGACCTTCCAAATTGGAAAGGAAGAAGTCAAATGATCCTTGTTTGTAGAAGATAAGCTCTTGTATCTAGAGAAACCTAAAGATTCCAACAAAAAACTATTAGAACTGATAAATTCAGTGAAGTTATAGGATAAAAAATCAACATACAAAAATCAGTATCATTTCTATATGCCAACAGTAAAAAATCTGAAAAAGAAACCAAGAAAATAATCCCATTTATAATAACCACAAATAAAATATCTAGGAATAAACTTAACCAAAGAAATGAAAGATCTCTATAATGAAAACTGTAAAACATTGATGAAAGAAATTGAAGAAGACACAAAGAAGTGGAAAGATATTCCATGCTACTGGATTGGAAGAATCAGTATTGTTAAAATGTCCATGCTACCTAAAGCAATCTGGAGATTCAATGCAATCACCATCAAAATACCAATGACATTTTTCACAGAAATAGGAAAAATAATCCTAAAATTTATATGGAACCACAAAAGACCCACAATAGCCAAAGCCATCCTAAGCAAAAAGAACAAAACTGGAAGAATCACATTAACTGACTTCAAATTACGCTGCAGAGCTGTAGTAACCAAAACAGCATGGTACTGGCATAAAAACAGACACATAGACCAATGGAACAGATTATAGAACCCAGAAATAAATCCACACATTTGTAGTGAATGTCTCTTCAACAAAGTTGCCAAGAACTTACAGCTGGGAAAAAGCAGTCTCTTCAATAAATGGTGCTGGGAAAACTGGATATCCACATGCAGAAGAATTAAACTAGACCCTGATCTTTTGCCATATATAAAAATCAAATCAAAATTTGATAAAAGATTTATCAAATAAAAGATATAAGGCTGGGTATGGTGGCTCACGCCTATTATCCTAGCACTCTGGGAGGCCAAAGCGGGAGGATTGCTCGAGCTTAGGAGTTCGAAACCAGCCTGAGCAAAAGCAAGACCCCATCTCTATGAAAAATAGCCAGACATCGTGGCACGTGCCGCTAGTCCCAGCTGCTCAGGAGGCTGAGGCAGGAGGATTACTTGAGCCCAGGTATTTGAGGTTACGGTGAGCTATGGGTGATGTCACTGCACTCTAGCTGGGCCAAAAGAGTGAGATGCTGTCTCAAAAAGAAAAAAAGATTTAATTCTAAGACCTGAAACTATGAAACTGCTTAAAGAAAACATTGTAGAACTACTTCAGTACATTGGTCTGAGCAAGGACTTCTTGAGTAATATCCACAAAACACAAGCAATCAAGGCAAAATTGGCCATATGGGATCACATCTAGCTAAAAAGTTTCTGCACAATAAAGGAAGCAATCAATAAAGTGAAGAGACAACCCACAGAATGGGAGAAAATATTTGCAAACTACCCATCTGATAAAGGATCAATAACTGGAATATATAAGCAGCTCCGACAACTGATAGGAAAAAAATCAAATAATTTGATTAAAAAATGGGCAGAGGATTTGAATAGACATTTCTCAAAAGACACCATACAAGGGCCGGACACGGTGGCTCATGCCTATAATCCTAGCACTTTGGGAGGATGAGGTGGGAGGATCGCTTGAGGCCAGGAGTTCAAGACCAGCCTGAGCAAAAGCGAGACCCCATCTCTACTAAAAGTAGAAAAAATTAGCCGGGTGTGGTGGCCCACGCCTGTGGGTCCTGTTACTCGGGAGGCTAAGGTAGGAAGATCGCTTGAGCGCAGGAGTTTGAAGTTATGGTGAGCTATGATAATACCACTTCACTCTAGCCCAGGTGACAGAGTGAGACTCTGTCTCAAAAAAAAAAAAAAAAAAAAAAATATGCAATAGAGTATTATATAGCCATAAAAAGGAATGAAATCGTGCCATTTGCAACAATATGGATGGAACTGGAGAACCATTATGTTAAGTG